AATGCAAGACCACCACCGAAATCTACTCGGGCAGCGTGACTCGAGATTTGAGATTGAGACTGAAAGAGGCACGCTCGGCTTGCAATGCTTTGCGCCGCCGACACCGTCCATCTCGCCGCCGGCCTGAGGCGGTTCTCCACGAAGCTGCGGCCGCTCGAGAGTGAGGACGAGATCGTCGCGCTTCTCCTCGGCATGGCTCGCTACCCAGTCGACACACCCGACCGCGCAGAGCTCATCGCTGCCGACATGCAAACAAAGCACGCGTCCACGACCATCAACGTCCTCGTCAGCAGCATCGAGAGCGAGGCGGGCATCAGCGCTCTCGTGGATCTTCTCGACCGCAAGCGCTTCCATGAGCAGGAGAAATCCACGCCGCTCCACCTGGTCCCGCAGATTGAGTTCTGCGCCGTCTGCGCTTTGCAAGGGCAGAAGGTGTGCCTTGTGGTCAGCGACGAGCCCGTCCATCCGACCGTATACTGCACGCACGGGCGCTTTGGCGGGCTCCTCTACTGCAAGCGCTGCCCAACTTGCCGCGCCAAGCACAACCTCTCATATGCCGAGGAGTCAACTCGGCTGGCTCAGGGCAAGCAGGTGCCGTATGACGGCGCGATGGATCAGACTCGCAAGTACGTCCAGCTGTCGCGAGACATCATCTTTGAGGGCGAGATGCTGTGGCGCCTCGACACGCAGATGCTCCACTCGCACACCGGCTTTGAGCCGTACGCCAAGGAGTGGACGACCTTTGCCGACGAGCCGCCGCAGCTGGTCGAGCCTTTGCGGATAGCGCTGTCCCACGCCTGGCTCGCGTGGACGCTCCTCCGCTGGCGCGACGAGCTCCAACTACCCAAGGAGCCGCTGAGCTTTGCGTCGCCCACCCACCTCGACGAGACCTTGCTAGACTACACCATGCGTCGCGACCCAAAGACCGGCCGCTTCGACGCTGACTCGCTCATCGTTGCTTCGCTTCACCGACAAGTGGGGAAGGGAGCACGAGCTCGTCTGCCTCGAGCCCAAGGACGGCGGTCGAACCTGCTTGTGCTACATCATTGACGGACACATGAAATGCCGGAGGCTGATCTGCGAGAACAGGCGATTCGAGCCGTGAATCAGGGAAGTGTCGCGGACTCGTCTCAACAAGCGTCCATGTTTCTGTAGGAACGCTCGAGTCGTCCACCTCGGTGCACTAGCCACCTACTGGTAGCCCCGCCCCTATACAGTATTCCGGTTTGCAATGTCCTCGTTCCTGTTTGCAATATCCTCGTTCGCGGCATCGGCTAAAGTCTCTCATCTGATTCGGCGTAGACCGCGCGCGCAGCGCGCTCCGTGTTTGCAGACCGCCCTGGCGGACTCGTTTACACTTCCAAGCTCAGGCCAGGCGCCGCAGGCCATAAAGAGGAGCGCAGATTAAAATGGCGCCGCAGGCTCCCCGGGCCCCAAATCTTAATCTCAAATCTCAATCTCAAATCTCAGACCCAATCTCCCGGGCCCCAAATCTCAATCTCAAATCTCAATCTCAAATCTCAGACCTCAGACCTCAATCTTCCTGCAGGTCAAACCCACCCAGCCCTTCTAGAAGCTTCGAGGCTCTTATCAGTATTCACACCGCAAATCTCCAAATCTCAGCTCTCAAATCTCTAGGTTGGAAGGCCGTCCAAATCTTCAGTCTCAAATCTTGGATCTCGAGCAAACTCGACCGCAGATTCCTTTTGGTGTGGGAAATCTCATTCTCCAAGTCTCTGGTCTCTAATCTCAAAGTATCCCACCGGAGGCCGAGTGACTGAGGTCTCAAGTCTCAAATCTCTGGTCTCAAATCTCTGGGTAGCACTGTAGACCCGAGTGGAGTCTTTCAAATCTTTAAGCTCTCAATCTCTAAAAAAGACTAGAGATTTCCATTACCCTCGGACTGCGTGCCGTCCGTCCGTGAGCTCCTTGGGGTGCACTGGAGAAGAGCATGCGTAGAGCGTAGTACTATATACGTGTTGCATTGTAAAAAGTTTCGGGACACAAACGGACAAATGCCATACGTTGCTGCCGGCCGCTACTGTTGCACTGTTGCACACTGGGATGGGGTCGGATTCCGCATGCACGGGACCCCTCGATCGTCTCGCTAACTCTCATTCATTCTTCATTCCTGTTGGCTAGTTCCATTTCACTGTGGCACAGCTCGCGTTACAAAACCTTGATTTTGACCATTGCGCGAAAAATGTACCTCGCGGTGCCTTCCAGAGGCAGCTGCGACCC